ACTCGATTATAAATATTACTATAAGTTTATGGAAAAAGCTTTTAAGTAACATATATTTATTTTTTTTTTTCATTAAAGTTCATATTGAAAATTTTTTGAATCCCTTAGAAATTATATTTGTTCCTATTTCTTACTTTGTGTCGTAAATATTTCAGTCATTTTAACATTTTCACTTGACTAGTGCATACTGCAGAGTGCAATAGTTTTTTCTTTGCCACTCCAAGCAACATTTGCCATCAAATCACGTACACGTTCTGTATATTGTATACAAACAAACTACAAAGTGATTTGTTGCATTTTATGTTTAAGTTTTCCTCTGGGGTTTCTGCAACAGCCAACAAGCACATAGACGCCAAACGAGTCAGGAAGAGCACTAATGGCGTTTCCATGACCAACGCTCCCAAGCAGGTAAAATGGTATTAATGCTACAAAATTGCAGATCATAAAAGTGAAATCCAAATAAAAACAAACCTCCTTACTCTTTGCGATTGTAATCAATGCCTTAAATTGCCAGAATGGCAACATTTTGCAACTGAAACTTATTTTGACTTTGAATTGTAATTCAGTTTTATATGTGCAATATCGCACACAACATTGAGATCTCAACAAAGATAAACAATTGCTTACTGCAGAATATAATTTAAGCAATTACTCTAATTAATTAAAATATTTATGTAACGTGAACGAGCACCCAGTTAATTATTTCAACTGAAACTTCTCGTCAATACAACCGCACACCGGGGTGGGGGTGGTTATCGCCTGTTTAAAAGTTATTCCAGCTTAAATGGAAGCACACCACAAAAACTGCTACGGAATATAACATAAATATATCGTAAAAGTGTAAAATTGAATGCAGCACGTAACTACTTTAAAATACCTGAGTAAATTGTGGATAAAATTTCGGTATTACCTTTGGCCAAGCGCCATATGTGTCTTATTGAGCTCACCGGCATGCCTTACCTGTCTTCCGTCTTACACGAAATGGCAACATTTAAAATAAAAAGAAAATATAGTTCGAAAAATGCAATTTGATGTGAAAAGTTTTACTTTATGCACTTTCACCTTCAGCAAAATGTTAACAGGCAAACAAACGAACCTGAACACACAACCTCACATGTCCAATATCAAATTGCATTCACATGAGCACACAAAACATATAGACATGTTGTGACTATATGAGTATATTCCTCCGACTACGGCTTTCAATCCTCTTATAATATCGTTGCAAATTTGCAACAGAATTTCATAAAAATTCGTGTAAAAAACTATACGATGGCAGAAGATGCCATCTTATCAAATTAACTGCCTCTGAAGGGAGTCAGGCAGCCCGCCTGACTGACTAAACAAGAGAAAATTGAGTTGTAAAATTCTTACATGCTGTAAAAAAATTTACGCCAAGATGTCAGCTGCCAGTTGCAGTACCATTATTGTTAGACGTCCTCTATTTCTTTTATATGATTTTTGTGTTTTTTTTTTGCTCCCTATTATACTCGAAAGTTTGCTGCCACGTCGTAAAAATAATATTCAGAGTGGCAACTATGTTTACTTAAAGGATATGGAAAGTAAAAAAATTGATAGCATAATAGACTAAGTAGAACGGAAATTTATTTAAAATGCACACGTTAATCCTTACCTCCTTTTTTGTCGTGGGTCGCAGTCTAAGTAATACAAAACCTTACTTCTATTTATGGAATCCTTTTGAATATTCACTTTAAATAGGCTAATGGAGTACTAAATTAAAGAAGAGGATTCCTTGGAATTTACACAATTTATAATATGAAAAACATCCGTTTTGGAATAAATAATTGCAGTCATAAACCTTTAAATGAGAATAAATATGAGATGTGAACTAAAACATCTAATTATCTCCAAATTCTCTGGACTTTTTTTCTTTAGCATGTCGAAAAGTTTTAAAATTCACTGTGTGAATAGACAAGATTTCCGCCGCTGACCCGAAGGGCAGAGTATGAAACTTCATACTAGTAATTAGTGGAGAAATTTCAATATTCGAAATGAATTATTTTTAAGTTTTTGTTTACAAACCCATGTTATGACTTATGCAATTGCAAAACTATCTAGTAAGTCACATATATTCGCATACGTAGACGAACTGTATTGGAAGCATATATTGTTAATATACAATTTCGATACTTTTCCATTTCTTTAAAAGGTTCAAAGCTTGTTGAATGTTTTTCCAGGCTTATTACACCAAAACTTTAATATCGGACATTCACCTTACCAGTAGCCTTCTCGGTTTCATTCAAATGTTGCTTGACGTATTTTGTTACAGGGTTTCCCTAAGACATACCTCAGCCTTTTTTATTTATCTCGTATCTATTAATTTGTGTATTAATATCCACTTGACTTATTAATCATAACAACGCTTTATTTTATATATTTCGTGACGATTATTTAACATCCAGGCTTTATCCAGTTATGTTTCCGAACCGTAGATCAGTATTGATTCCATATAAACATTATTAACATGCTCGATGAATTAACAAAAGCGCTGACTTCAATAGAAATAAAGCTTCTCAGCTAGCAGGAAGTCTTAACATTTTGAGTCGTTAACTATTGATAATGAAACCTGTTGTTCTATAGCCTTATACACACGCTCAGTGTAATATACACAATATAGTAACCAATATAGTCATTTTCTATATAAACCGAGATACATTGCACTAAAAAAAACTTTACTTAATAAGAATCTTCAATCAAAAATATCTATTATCTCAAAAACTGTTCAGATTTATTATTTTATTATTTAAAACTGACGTTGACAACTGCGCTGAGATGTATTAAACTATCAATAAACAGATCAATGAAGAGGTGCAATATTAAATAATTTATATTATTATTAACAAATAAAAAAACAACTTATTTTTCTTTTTGTATATATATGTAACTTCTGCTCAAAAAGTATCCGGATTTTGTTGTTTTTTAACTACTCCTTAAGTAATAGACCTTTTTCAAAAATTTTTTTTTTATTCTGTTGGTACACCCTTTCTTGAGCGCCATCTGTCAATTAGTTTGTTTACAGCAGCTAAAAATGTGAGACTACCTCAAGTGCATTTAGCGATTTTTACTATGGAAAATTCTTGTTGTACGCGATTTTTTGACCAAACACGACACCACTGTCATCGCTCAGGCACCATATTCGCCAGATCTGGCACCGTGCGACTTTTTCCTGTTCCCGAAACTCAAATTGCCTCTTCGTGGTAAGCGTTTTGAGTCGATTGAATCGTTAAAAGAGAATTCGCCGAAGTAACTAAAAGCCATACCTTCACGGACTTAAGAAAAGTATATGGAAGGTTGGGTTAAGCGTTGGCATATGTGTATGGCTTCAGAAGGAGCATATTTTGAAGGAGATAAATTAAATTTGGAATAACATTTAAATTTGTGTGTTTTATTTAGAAAATCCGAATACTTTTTTAGCAGAAGGCATATATGTTTTTATCCAACATGATGTACTTAATATGTTGATTGGAGTTTTTAATAGAATATTGTTTAGTTTCCTGATGTTGACTTTAGACTTAAGTGAAAATATTAAATAGAAATTAAATAGAAATTATTATAAAACAATTTGTTGTTTATTTCTCTTCATTTTTATATTTAACAATAACAAAAATTGGCTTGTGAAACACTATAACTAAAACTCTTCATTCAGATAGCTTAACTCACCTATCAGTCTTGAGTCCACTAAATGTCACTAAATCTCATTTAAATATTTTTTATGCTTATTTAAATTGATATTTTATCTGAAATATTTCTGAACTAAGCGAATGTTTAAAATGTTTTTTACAAAATATGTGAAAAGACAGAAAAGTCTTGAGCTAGCTCAAAAACCACAGGAATTATAGATAAAAATAAATTTTATCTTTCCGATGTTGGCATGAAATAATTTTGGAAATAATGAAATACATACATTTCGCTGAGGTCAAGCAATATTTTGTGCGTAATCGCTATGCGACATATTCAAACTGATAATTCGTAATAATTTTAGTGGAACCTTATCAAATTTAAAATTATATAAAAAAGATAAATTTTTTAAACAAGAATTTCTTTTGTTTTTCGTTTTGTCTATGTGAAGTAACAGTACGATTTTGAGACATTATCGCATGCTACAAATATGTGTGACTATAAATTTTAATTAGAAAAAAATAATATATTTCCTAAGCTAAGCAGAAAAACATGTACTGCTTCATAGATCATTTTAATCTGTTCAATGTATTCAATTTTATTTTTATTTAATTAATATTTTTATTTTCATCTAAGCGTGAAAATAAAAGCATTTAATGGCGTATGAAAAACTTTATATAAGGAAATTTAAATAAATTGAGTGATTTATATATATAAAATATTGTAAGATTTTTAATAACTTGATTATTTGCTTAGTTTTATTCAAAATATGTAAAATGTGTAAATTTATTAAGAAATAATTTATTTTCGGCAACCAAATAATGACAAAAATATTTTATATATGAACTCGCTGACAACTTAATTAGGAAATATTTCAGAGAAATTGCGAATAAATGTGATATTTAAAGAGCACGCCAGAAGAAAAACAAATAAATTTTATTGCTTTACGAAAAAAATTTTTATAAATAAATTTTATTAATATTATTAACTAATAGAAAATTTTGAATGACTCAATTTAAAGAAAAATAACAACATGTGACGTACAAGCAGCAAAACAAAATTCCTGAGATATAAATCAAATAAAATAAATATATATATGTCAAAAACTAAGTCAAGAACATCGTAATATATTTACAAAGAAAAATTTAGCAATAAAATAGTGTATAAAAATTTAAAAATATTTAAATAAACGAATATGAACAATTAAAAAAAGTTAAAATTTGAAAATTATACATGCAATTTATAAAAAAGTGTCTACAAAAATCTTAAAATTGTGACATACAATTATTATAAAAATATAATTAATAATTATAAAAATTTTATTTTTATTTAGTGGCAAAAAGTAGAAAATTAACGAATAATCTGAATATTGAAATTTAAAATCGAAATTTAAAACTTTTTATATATACTCCAACTAAAAGGAAAAACGAACTCAACTCACAATCAAAACGAATTTCAAACTAAAATACTCAAAATCAAAAATCAAAAATTCACAATTTGTTCAAAATGCTCTGAAAAATGAGAAAATAATATCGAAAAGAATAGTTCGGCTATGATTGCAACGCTTTTTATAATATTTGAATTTATACGCTCGTTTCCATGGAGAAGAAGGCGTAGAGCGCTGCAACCTCCGCCTCAACACGAACCCCACCAAATAAATAACGAAACCTCAACAAATACAACAAAAGTGCCAAATAACGACAATTTAAACGAATTTTCTGATAACAGCAACAGATTACAGAATATTAACGAAAATCCCTCACAGAAACCGATCGAAAATCCGCGCAAATGCTCTTCAGCGCGTCGGAAATCTTCAAAATCACTCAAATACCACGAAGTCACCTTCAGCGGTAGCGTAGGTGGTGGCGAGAGTGATAACGAAAATAGTTCAACAAAAAAATTACGCCGCCAATCACGTTCCATAACAATAAGCCCATCCAGAGCTACCTCACCGGAAAGTTTAAGTTCACATTATCATTCGCTTAGTAGCCGTAATCAGCATAGCCGTGCCTCAACTGATTACGAGACTTGCGCCTCTGAGTTATATAGCAATTATAAGTCAGCACAGGATACACCAACAATCAGTAGTAGTGAACGCAAAAATGGTCAATTAAAACGTTTTCCGCCTAGACGCGCACATACAATAGCCACTGATGACGATTGCGTAGCAGTACCGCATGATATAGACAACGCATATATTGAAGACGAAGATAACAACGACGACGACGACAACGATATATACGATCGTGATACTGAGGAATTTTATAATAATATACAAGACGCTGCTGGCACATCAGGTAATCGAAGTAAACGTTCCTCATTATTCTCACGTTCAGACTCATCAGCAACAACGACATCATCTAGTGGCGGCACTTTCACCGGCGGCAAAAGACGTTCAACTGCTTCAATTATATCATCGTCAATATGCTCAGATGTGATACCCGTCGATCGGCGTAGTTCAACTACGTCTACAACAGAATATAGTGTACGTTCTGCATCAGGTCGGCGTTCAAGTGGACGTATACGCCGTTACATATCACGCATGACTATTGCGGGGGCTAGACGTCGAACCACTGGCAGGTATAAATAGTATAAAATTAATTAATTTGTAATATATAGTGTGTGTGAAGTACATAAAATTATGTAGTAGTTTCTGAAGATGGTTATGCTCAAGTGACCCATCAAACTGCTGGATACTGCTCTCTTTCTAAAATATGATAAATATAGTTATTCTACTTAGATGATTAGGGAAAAACATCATTATTTCTTTTCAAGATTTGTATTTTTATTTGCTACATTCTTCTCGTGTGATGCAGTCTTGATTCCTTCAGCTAAAATTAAACAGAAATATTGATTAACTATACAAATTTTTGACCATCGAAATAATTTTTCGAATAACATTTCAGATATCTGGAAATTATAGATATTTTTGAAATATTTTTTCATTTAAAAGACATTCAAGCTCTTTGTACTGTTGTAGTTTTTTTTTTATTTGCCAGAAGAAGACTAATTAACGAAACTTTTTACCAGGAAGTCGTTCATTAACCTTATTTCGGCACAAAGCAAAAATTCTCTGACAACAATTCTTTTGCCAAAAATGTCACAGTCATAAAAATATTTTCCACGGATACATTTTTATGGATGTTGAAAAATTTCAAAAATTTCATAAAAAATAGACTAAAAAAATTGCAAGAAAATAATTCGTATTGACTTTATGACATCAAAAGCGATGTAAATCAAAACCTCACACATCGCCTCAGACATATGCACAGATACGAGTACGAATTTTCCGTGTCGATTCTGTTCTGTGTATATTTACAGATGCAAATTTTCCATATTTTTGCCGCTTTGTGTGAAGATTTGTTTGTTCTGCAACCGCCATATGCGCTCCACTTTTCCTGTCTACGTGGATTTTATGAGCTGTGATTTTCATATTTTTCGCAATATTGGCAATGGCGCTACTGCTGACGCTGCCGCTGCCACTGCCGCTGCCACTACCGCTGATGATATTGACGTTGATGTTGATGTTGGGGTTGTCGCTCGAGGCTGCATTTTCAGCAGAAACTCGTATCCGTGCAACTCATAACTGCGCACCCATAACTGTTGAAGCTCCAAATATGATTGCTGGCGGCATTTATTATATTTTTTGGCATATTGATTCGCCTAATATATACATACGTAGCAACCTCATCGCCTCAACGCCTTATCGTCTCATCACAACGGAGACAGTGATGTTTCGTTGATGATTTTTGTATCGTGTCGTCCATTGAAGTTAGCGAAGGTGTTCAGCTGATTCTATATGTCTGCACTCTCGCACGTATATTCAATTTCACACATTTAGATACATATTTCGCATTTACTTGTCATAAGCATTGACATATTTGGCAACAATTTGAATTTTACATATTCCAACGTATTTTTTCCCCTCATCCCTTTTCCTTAACAAATATGTAAAAAGGATTCTCACAGGAGGAAAAACTTTTATTTAAATTCATACAAAAAATATGTATTAAATTTGCTTAAAGTGACACAATTTACGCATTCGTGTAACTTTTAGAACAGCACACATAAAGCATTTAATTTAATTTATTTATTTTTGAACAAAAGCTAACTTTTTGCACTCAGTTTGTAACTCGAACTCAATTACGATCTGCACTTTAAATAAATTTTGTGAAGTTTATTTTGACAAATAACAAAAATAAGCCAGAACAAAGCGAAGCCAGAAAAACTTTGTTTGTTTGTTGTTGAGCTGCCATCATTGTTCCTGGAAAAAGGATTACAAAAAATAAAAGATGGCTTTTAAGTTCATTTATCAACAACGATGTTTTTTTCTGTTATGAAAAAATTTATGAAAAAAATCCATAGAAATACCCCCTACTGTTCCGCTATATAGTCTGGGGTCATTTATTTTGTGGGCTTTAAATTTTATAACGCAAAAATATAAGCTAAATAAATGTTCAAACATGTTGGAACATAAAGGTTTGAATTTGTTAGTTTTTGTTCAAGTCAGCAAAATTAATATATTATTATCTTCTGTGATTAATTTAACTCATACGAATGTCATCATGGACTGCCTTGATAATATTAGTCAATTTCATTAACACCCTCGTAGTATATGTTTGAAGACACTGGAAAAAGGCAAAAAGTTCAGTACTGTTCTGAGATTTGAACAATGAGATATATCCATTAACAAGGTTATATAAAATTGGTTAATGCTGCCACGCATCAAGTACCTCGTCTATAATACCACAATTAAAGTCACTATTGACAGAAATGTAATTCTTTTGAGAACTGTGTATCCACCTAACGAAAGATTTCACTAGTTGCTAAAAGAACTCATTGCAGTTTCTTCTCATCACTATTGTAGGGTCTTCCTTACGTTCGCTAATTAAAATTGGCAAAATTCCTATCGAAAAAATTTCAGATTATTGTGATTAACTTACCCTTAAGCCGTTCGTAACCTTTACTTTCTCAGTAAAGGTATGTACTAGATTATAGTATTTGCCGCTTAACAAAGATTAAAACAGTAACCTATCAACTAAGAAGTTGCTTTAGGTTAGGTTAGTTTGAGTACACATGTCTCCAGTTGGAAACATCCTTTGCCCATTGTAATGCCCTCAAGTATTCCTGGAAGAGGCAAGTTAATTAAGTCTTAACATTTGTTTATGTATATTATTATCCGCCGAAATTAGAAAAACTAGCTAGAACCCTAGCAATTTAAAATGGATTATAAGCATAAAACCCACTGCAATTCTTTCAATAAATTAATACTTTATTAAATTAAGTTATATTAATAAATTTTTCATTTGCTTAATTTACATAAAAAAATTTTTTTTTTATTTTAATAAACTTACTATAAAACAATTTATTCAGCTCTAAAAGCTTGCAAACAATATTTAAATAAAAAATAAATAAAACTATGTCCCATTATGTTGCTGCCAATGCAAATGTTTACCCATAGTTCTTAAGCTGAGAGGTTTAATTTTTTTAAACGCATTTTCCAGTGGCACCTTTTCGAATTCATTAGGTGCTGTCATCTGCCGTAAATTCTGCATGGCAACTTCCTTGCATGCCAAGCGTAATTCATCTCCTGTGAAATGTTCCGTAAGATTCACCAAAGATTCTAATTCAAATTCTGATATTTTTAACGTTCCCGGTAAAAACTTATTGATTAGTGTTGAGCGTTCTTCAGGATTTGGCAATTGTACTAAAAGTTTCTTCTCAAATCGTCTCAGAAATGCTTCATCTATATCCCACGGTAGATTTGTGCTTGCCAATATAAATGTCCCCTCCCGATACTGTTCAATGCCATCAAGTAATTGCAGCAATTCGTTTTTGAAACGTTTTGTTGACTCATGATCGCCAGGACGATCCCGTTTCGAAGTTATACCCTCAATTTCGTCAAAGAATAAAATAGAAGGTGCGTGTGTACGCGCCACATAAAAAAGTACTTTTAGTATTTTTTCAGATTCTCCGCGCCATTTCGATATAAGCACACTGGAGGACACATTAAAGAAGGTTACATCCTGTCTCGTTTCGGAATATAAAATCTTTGCTAAAAATGTTTTCCCACTACCAGGTGGGCCATATAGCAACGCAGACTTCCATGGTTTCATGCCATCAACAAATAATTCTGGATATTTAATAGGCGTTTCTACTGCTTCTTTTAACGTGGTTATTGCATCTGAATTACCACACATGTCATTCCAAGACAATTTTAAATCCTCTGTCAAAATTGTGGTCTTCACTAACTCCACCAATACTTGCCAGTCAGGATTCCCGAGCAACTCGTTCTTTATAGTACCTACACCTGCTTCGATTTCCTTAAGTGTAGCTGCATTTCCAACACCCTCAAATTCTTCTCCCTTTTCCCCTCCTGTATCCAAGTGTTTTACTACAATTTGTAGATTATTAACTGGCTCGGCTGATGGTGACTTAGGAGGTGGACTTTGAATTGGTCGTATAATCTTCGAACACTTCTTCATTTGATGAGAATCTATTTTTATAGTCGGCTTTGTTTTGCGCAACACCTTTGGGTATTTTCCAAACTTCAAGTGATGAAAGCTAGAATACTCCAAGTAAATAGAATCCAAGTCTATATTATCACACAGTTCCTGGTCATCGCTTAGACGAGCTTCACTCCTTAAAAGTTTAGCTGAATTACAATATCCATGATCCACCAGGTAGCAGTGTATTAAATATAGAAGATTTCTGCGCCTTGAATGTGCATTACGTACAGTATCTTCCTTAGTGGACATATCTTGAAATTTTAATATTTACGAGAATTTAGATTTTAACACAAAATTGCTTCACATGTAATGAAAATTTTAATACTTTTCAGTACGTCGAACGTTGTTAAATTAAAATTCAAACTTAACTGGAAAAATTTCTACAAATAAATTTTAGTCGTCTTTATGTTATTTATAGCAACGCCTGCTTATATGAAAATTAACAAATTTCATTATTCGTTGGCATAGTTTCAGGATTGTTTGGGGGGTGCTAACAACGACTTCAAGCTTGTGATGGTAACAAGTAGGAACCACTGTGATATTACCTTGTAGCTAGTTTTATGGTTGCGAAACTCTACAGACAAAATTTGAAAACTTTTTCAAGAGAAAATTAGAACGTCATTGACTCTTTCGTCATAATTGTGTTAAGGCAGTAAGTGACGCACAAGTTCAGGAGTTACTCAGTTCATTTAAAATTGTAAGAGTAAGAAATAGAACTAAGCCAATAATATAATTATAACATCATTTATTACAGTGCTATATACTTTTAATTAAATAATTGAATTTTGTTTAAACAAAAAGTCTATTGTGACTATTATTAAATTATAAATATTCCCAAAAAAAATAGTTTCATAGGTTTGTTGTAGTTCATAGTTATGTTTCACTATAGCATAAGTTGATCCATAATAAACTCTGTTATAGAAAAATAGAACCTAACCAACAATATCTATTACTAACGTAACATCCTGACTTAACAGGGTTTGTGAAGAGCGGGTTTGTCCTTACGTACTAAAGCCATATTGTGGCATAAGTTGATCCAGCATAAAGTCTCTGTTAGAAAAAATGGTATTACCAACAATATCCATTAGCGGCGCAACACCCTAACTTAACAGGTTTGTCCTTACGTACTAAAGCCATATTGTGGCATAAGTTGATCCAGCATAAAGTCTCTGTTAGAAAAAATGGATGTTACCAACAATATCCATTAGCGGCGTAACACCCTGACTTAACAGGAGTACTGAAGAGTTGGTTCGTCTTGATAACTGCGTTAAAGTCTATATCTTTAAGATCTATTTCTCTATTCAAAGGTGGTCACTTTTTCGGGTACCAGTACTCTATTAATTTATAGTTCTACTTTCTACAATCGACAAGGCTTTAAAGGAATATCTTTTATTTTGCAATTTTATAAAAGAAAATATAGAATGGACATTGGCTAGCTTTTAGGTGTATATGGACACTGACTTTATAATATCTTTGATGTCAGATGATATAGTTTTACAGTTTTCTGAACAATGCTATTGAAGTCTTGTATTACTAAGATACTTCTGTTTGATTTTAATTAAAATAGTTATATCCAACAATACTATAAAAAAAGTATTTTTTTTAAATTTGTTTGTAGACTAAGGTTATGAGTTATAATAATAGTACTAATCAATAAATAAGACTTCAAATAAACTTTGTTTGTGATAACAAATTCTATCGTTTCTTTTTTGAACTCTAAAGTTAGTTTGAATGCGTTCTTCATTCCTCATAATCTATTTTGGAACTGTTAAGCTTTCGTTTCCCGATATTTACTTTTATCTGTTAACTTAAATCGAGACTGTTAGCAACATTTAAATGATAACATAGTATTGTGTGTTTGATAAGTTATTATTTGCTTCATAATAAATTAGTTATTATCACATTTAGTATACTTTTTCTGTGTTGCAAACTTGAAGACATTGAAAAACAATAAAGTAAAGAAATTAATCGTAATAAATCACGACATATTTTTAAAATTGTTGATTTTTTTTGTTTAACCTTTTAGAAGTTCTAAATTAAAAATGAACATGAATTTGCATTTAATATGCACCACCGAAGTGGAATTAATAAAGATCCTTGCATCCTTAAAGAACGTAAAATACACAAGAAGGATACGTAAGAAATTCAAAAAGTATTTATTTTCGTACAAAAAAGTATTTGAAATGCATTTCACAGTATTTTAAAATTTATAAGATTTTTTTTTAAATTTTTTTTGTGTAGTTTTTTCATCTCAGATTTTTTGTTAGTTTTTCATACATCAAACGACATTTCGCTTGAATTTTTGTGCTCAAATGTGAGCGATATTAACACATAAATAAATACTGTAACCGAATGAAATGCAGTTTGAGTGCCAAAAATGAATTTGAAATATTATGAAAAAAAAATTTTAAGAGCTGCAAGCTGGGTATGCACATAAAAACTTGAATGAGTTATGAACACAAAAATTTGTACGTTTCGAAATTGCATTTAAAATATATCTACGCAGAATATTCATAAAGTGAAACTGTAACGAGGCCATCATTTTGAGTAATGCTGACAATCTAGCAAATGTGCCAAAAGTTCTTATATTTGTGCATTTTTAATTATATAATTTCATTGCAGATACTCATTTTTTGCGCCATGCATTTTATTTAAAAAAAAACAAAAATTTAATTAATTAATACAATTTTGCCGTATATGAGTGTAAGCTGCTTTGAAGAGTGTAAAATGGAATTTGATATTTAAAGCAAAATTAATGTCTACTGCCAAACAGTAGCTTATACCAGTTAAGCTGTATTAAATTAAATACTTGTAATATATTATTTTAGCAAATACTACTCGAAACTAATAGTTTTTTACATTGAAAACGTTTGCTTAGTAGTTTTTTCACATCTCAGTTTAGTATTATTAATGCAGTTAGCAAGCACTTTTTCGTTACATTCCGATTTGTTTGCTTCAATGCATGTGTATATTCGAGTTAAGTTGACAACTAACTGCATGACTAAAATGCAGTGAACGCGCACCCCACTATTCTTCTCCAAACCACAGCAAGCTAACAGAGACGCAGATAATATTAGTTAGTTTCACCTTAAACTGGTTTCACCTCCAGCAATATTAGTATTTAGTTTTCTGAGTTTATCCAACCCTAATTGTGGGTCCAAGATTTTGAAAAACTTCTACAGAGTATTTAATTTTATTTTATTTTGTATTTATAATTGTATAATCATAATACCCTATAATTGTCAGACTTCCATGGACCTAATAAGATCTAAGATCTGATACCATCAAATACTATTAGACTTGTTGCTAGCTGAGAGTTTATCAATGCTAGCGTTAGAGATTTTCTACAGCGATAATACAATGTAACTTAAAGGTCGAAGCGCACTATTCTTTCTTTTAATATACATACATATAGAGAACTGATTATTTTGCCATTTTCAATGTATAAGTCACACGCAACCAAATCCTTAGGTAATAAGGTCTATCATTGGGATCGGCTTAAGTCTATTGGGCCATTGTGACACTCAAGGCTTTCAAAGCCATCTCTTTAATGGATTACTTTAGAGATGACTGCGTGAATAATCGACGCTTCGCAAGTACTGGACAGTGACGAAGCAGATATAAGATACTTCTTTGTCTTTCCCACAGCTGCTATAGGTATACAACAGTACTTTAATCGATTACATTTTTATTTTTGCTATCTTTTTAACAGCCTTTTTTCAACATTTTTTCAACTATTCAACACTATTTTTCTGCTAAGTCCAATACTACTTTATCGTATAATTCGAGATATTTATCTTCAAAAAATATAAGCAGAAAAAGGTTAATTTTCTGCTTATGCTTAGCCCAATATAATATGTAATATAGTAAATAATATGTAAGGTTTTTGGTATCCATATACATATATACTATATATATAAGTTTAAGTTTGATATAAATTTTCCAATAACTTTTTATGCTTTTAGTAAAATTTCTCTAAACAAATTTAAAGCAAAATAATTACCAAATTTCATTATACAAATATTTACTATTATTTCCAGCCTTCGGAGCAAATTAAACTAACTTGCTAATTGAAGTTCATTATTGGTATATTTGTGTTTAATTGTGTTGGCTTTGCGTTATTTATTTTACGATTGGCTACTGCAAACTCACTTCTACATAATTTTCAATAAATTTTTGATAAGCGCCCAAAGCTATGCCAAACTATTTTCCCAATAATTTTGTCTGTTAGATTTTAAACTTTGTTAATTACAAATTATTTGCAATGATTTTGTACAATGTATTCATTTATTTAAATACAGTTTGTATATATATGTATGTATATATATACAAAAATGTTTCACATAGAAACAACGCAAAATAAATGCTTGATTACGTCCGGATATTTGAACAAAACATAGTCATTAGCAAGGAAATATAAGCGAATATTTGAATAATATTTGCTATTTAAAATATTTTCATGGTTATAATAAAGTTTTACAATATTTACATACAAAATATATAAAATATAAATAAAAATTTAAATAAAAATTTAAATACAAACCATTTCAACAAGTTCAAATAACAACAGAAACATAAAAGTATTAATTTAGGTTAGCTAAAATGTACATATACACAATATTAAGTTTGTAAAAATTATATATATTCGATCATGATTTAATTATCTTTTTTCCAAAATTGCACAGCGCAAAAGTTCACATTATCTACTTTAAAAAACAATTTATAAAAGTAATTTAGACATACAATTTTTTTGTTAACATTTGTTATCTAAGCAAATCCAAAATATTCCATACTTATGTAAGTAACCAACTGTATAGCTTGCAAGCACGTCCATTGTACCTATATAGCCATGAACTATAAGTCTATGATATACTCTTCTTTCCTCAAAAGACAGTTATGGGATAAGAGCATGAAGCAACTTGTAAATACTAAACACTTTTAGGCACTTATAATTCCATCTGGAACTAAAAGACTAACTAATTGAATATAGCCGAAATCGGCTACATCTGACTTTAATAGTCAGATATGTACAAGGGCCCAAGATCCTTGCGATCTATGTCAGGGAAAAAAACTATATTTTTCACATTCTCGGCACGAAGTAAGGCTACAGTTTTTGGAAAATAATTTTTTAAAAACCCCACAGAATTGATGTCAGAAGCCTTAGAAAATAATCAGAGAAAATAAATTGATTTAAATTATTAAAAAGCAGAGTGATGTGTGATATCTTAAAACAAGTCCCCTACAGCAGTGTAATGTGCCAATAGCCGCTCTACGTGGACAACCATATATCCTTAAGTCTTACTTAATTTAAAGCAACTAGTTAAAT